TAGGGGACACTGGGCCATCCTGGAGGCATACTGGGGGTCACTGGGCCATGCTGGAGGGCACTGGACCATCCTGGAAGCATGCTGGGGCTCACTGGGCCATGCTGGGGGGACACTGGGCCATGCTGAGGGACACTAGGCCATACTGGGGGCATGCTGGGGGTCACTGGGCCATACTGGGGGGACACTAGGGGACACTGGGCCATCCTGGAGGCATACTGGGGGTCACTGGGCCATGCTGGAGGGCACTGGACCATCCTGGAAGCATGCTGGGGCTCACTGGGCCATGCTGGGGGGACACTGGGCCATGCTGAGGGACACTAGGCCATACTGGGGGCATGCTGGGGGTCACTGGGCCATACTGGGGGGACACTAGGGGACACTGGGCCATCCTGGAGGCATACTGGGGGTCACTGGGCCATGCTGGAGGGCACTGGACCATCCTGGAAGCATGCTGGGGCTCACTGGGCCATGCTGGGGGGACACTGGGCCATGCTGAGGGACACTAGGCCATACTGGGGGCATGCTGGGGGTCACTGGGCCATACTGGGGGGACACTAGGGGACACTGGGCCATCCTGGAGGCATACTGGGGGTCACTGGGCCATGCTGGAGGGCACTGGACCATCCTGGAAGCATGCTGGGGCTCACTGGGCCATGCTGGGGGGACACTGGGCCATGCTGAGGGACACTAGGCCATACTGGGGGCATGCTGGGGGTCACTGGGCCATACTGGGGGGACACTAGGGGACACTGGGCCATCCTGGAGGCATACTGGGGGTCACTGGGCCATGCTGGAGGGCACTGGACCATCCTGGAAGCATGCTGGGGCTCACTGGGCCATGCTGGGGGGACACTGGGCCATGCTGAGGGACACTAGGCCATACTGGGGGCATGCTGGGGGTCACTGGGCCATACTGGGGGGACACTAGGGGACACTGGGCCATCCTGGAGGCATACTGGGGGTCACTGGGCCATGCTGGAGGGCACTGGACCATCCTGGAAGCATGCTGGGGCTCACTGGGCCATGCTGGGGGGACACTGGGCCATGCTGAGGGACACTAGGCCATACTGGGGGCATGCTGGGGGTCACTGGGCCATACTGGGGGGACACTAGGGGACACTGGGCCATCCTGGAGGCATACTGGGGGTCACTGGGCCATGCTGGAGGGCACTGGACCATCCTGGAAGCATGCTGGGGCTCACTGGGCCATGCTGGGGGGACACTGGGCCATGCTGAGGGACACTAGGCCATACTGGGGGCATGCTGGGGGTCACTGGGCCATACTGGGGGGACACTAGGGGACACTGGGCCATCCTGGAGGCATACTGGGGGTCACTGGGCCATGCTGGAGGGCACTGGACCATCCTGGAAGCATGCTGGGGCTCACTGGGCCATGCTGGGGGGACACTGGGCCATGCTGAGGGACACTAGGCCATACTGGGGGCATGCTGGGGGTCACTGGGCCATACTGGGGGGACACTAGGGGACACTGGGCCATCCTGGAGGCATACTGGGGGTCACTGGGCCATGCTGGAGGGCACTGGACCATCCTGGAAGCATGCTGGGGCTCACTGGGCCATGCTGGGGGGACACTGGGCCATGCTGAGGGACACTAGGCCATACTGGGGGCATGCTGGGGGTCACTGGGCCATACTGGGGGGACACTAGGGGACACTGGGCCATCCTGGAGGCATACTGGGGGTCACTGGGCCATGCTGGAGGGCACTGGACCATCCTGGAAGCATGCTGGGGCTCACTGGGCCATGCTGGGGGGACACTGGGCCATGCTGAGGGACACTAGGCCATACTGGGGGCATGCTGGGGGTCACTGGGCCATACTGGGGGGACACTAGGGGACACTGGGCCATCCTGGAGGCATACTGGGGGTCACTGGGCCATGCTGGAGGGCACTGGACCATCCTGGAAGCATGCTGGGGCTCACTGGGCCATGCTGGGGGGACACTGGGCCATGCTGAGGGACACTAGGCCATACTGGGGGCATGCTGGGGGTCACTGGGCCATACTGGGGGGACACTAGGGGACACTGGGCCATCCTGGAGGCATACTGGGGGTCACTGGGCCATGCTGGAGGGCACTGGACCATCCTGGAAGCATGCTGGGGCTCACTGGGCCATGCTGGGGGGACACTGGGCCATGCTGAGGGACACTAGGCCATACTGGGGGCATGCTGGGGGTCACTGGGCCATACTGGGGGGACACTAGGGGACACTGGGCCATCCTGGAGGCATACTGGGGGTCACTGGGCCATGCTGGAGGGCACTGGACCATCCTGGAAGCATGCTGGGGCTCACTGGGCCATGCTGGGGGGACACTGGGCCATGCTGAGGGACACTAGGCCATACTGGGGGCATGCTGGGGGTCACTGGGCCATACTGGGGGGACACTAGGGGACACTGGGCCATCCTGGAGGCATACTGGGGGTCACTGGGCCATGCTGGAGGGCACTGGACCATCCTGGAAGCATGCTGGGGCTCACTGGGCCATGCTGGGGGGACACTGGGCCATGCTGAGGGACACTAGGCCATACTGGGGGCATGCTGGGGGTCACTGGGCCATACTGGGGGGACACTAGGGGACACTGGGCCATCCTGGAGGCATACTGGGGGTCACTGGGCCATGCTGGAGGGCACTGGACCATCCTGGAAGCATGCTGGGGCTCACTGGGCCATGCTGGGGGGACACTGGGCCATGCTGAGGGACACTAGGCCATACTGGGGGCATGCTGGGGGTCACTGGGCCATACTGGGGGGACACTAGGGGACACTGGGCCATCCTGGAGGCATACTGGGGGTCACTGGGCCATGCTGGAGGGCACTGGACCATCCTGGAAGCATGCTGGGGCTCACTGGGCCATGCTGGGGGGACACTGGGCCATGCTGAGGGACACTAGGCCATACTGGGGGCATGCTGGGGGTCACTGGGCCATACTGGGGGGACACTAGGGGACACTGGGCCATCCTGGAGGCATACTGGGGGTCACTGGGCCATGCTGGAGGGCACTGGACCATCCTGGAAGCATGCTGGGGCTCACTGGGCCATGCTGGGGGGACACTGGGCCATGCTGAGGGACACTAGGCCATACTGGGGGCATGCTGGGGGTCACTGGGCCATACTGGGGGGACACTAGGGGACACTGGGCCATCCTGGAGGCATACTGGGGGTCACTGGGCCATGCTGGAGGGCACTGGACCATCCTGGAAGCATGCTGGGGCTCACTGGGCCATGCTGGGGGGACACTGGGCCATGCTGAGGGACACTAGGCCATACTGGGGGCATGCTGGGGGTCACTGGGCCATACTGGGGGGACACTAGGGGACACTGGGCCATCCTGGAGGCATACTGGGGGTCACTGGGCCATGCTGGAGGGCACTGGACCATCCTGGAAGCATGCTGGGGCTCACTGGGCCATGCTGGGGGGACACTGGGCCATGCTGAGGGACACTAGGCCATACTGGGGGCATGCTGGGGGTCACTGGGCCATACTGGGGGGACACTAGGGGACACTGGGCCATCCTGGAGGCATACTGGGGGTCACTGGGCCATGCTGGAGGGCACTGGACCATCCTGGAAGCATGCTGGGGCTCACTGGGCCATGCTGGGGGGACACTGGGCCATGCTGAGGGACACTAGGCCATACTGGGGGCATGCTGGGGGTCACTGGGCCATACTGGGGGGACACTAGGGGACACTGGGCCATCCTGGAGGCATACTGGGGGTCACTGGGCCATGCTGGAGGGCACTGGACCATCCTGGAAGCATGCTGGGGCTCACTGGGCCATGCTGGGGGGACACTGGGCCATGCTGAGGGACACTAGGCCATACTGGGGGCATGCTGGGGGTCACTGGGCCATACTGGGGGGACACTAGGGGACACTGGGCCATCCTGGAGGCATACTGGGGGTCACTGGGCCATGCTGGAGGGCACTGGGCCATCCTGGAAGCATGCTGGGGCTCACTGGGCCATGCTGGGGGGACACTGGGCCATGCTGAGGGACACTAGGCCATACTGGGGGCATGCTGGGGCTCACTGGGCCATGCTGGGGGGACACTGGGCCATGCTGAGGGACACTAGGCCATACTGGGGGCATGCTGGGGCTCACTGGGCCATGCTGGGGGGACACTGGGCCATGCTGAGGGACACTAGGCCATACTGGGGGCATGCTGGGGCTCACTGGGCCATGCTGGGGGGACACTGGGCCATGCTGAGGGACACTAGGCCATACTGGGGGCATGCTGGGGCTCACTGGGCCATGCTGGGGGGACACTGGGCCATGCTGAGGGACACTAGGCCATACTGGGGGCATGCTGGGGCTCACTGGGCCATGCTGGGGGGACACTGGGCCATGCTGAGGGACACTAGGCCATACTGGGGGCATGCTGGGGCTCACTGGGCCATGCTGGGGGGACACTGGGCCATGCTGAGGGACACTAGGCCATACTGGGGGCATGCTGGGGCTCACTGGGCCATGCTGGGGGGACACTGGGCCATGCTGAGGGACACTAGGCCATACTGGGGGCATGCTGGGGCTCACTGGGCCATGCTGGGGGGACACTGGGCCATGCTGAGGGACACTAGGCCATACTGGGGGCATGCTGGGGCTCACTGGGCCATGCTGGGGGGACACTGGGCCATGCTGAGGGACACTAGGCCATACTGGGGGCATGCTGGGGCTCACTGGGCCATGCTGGGGGGACACTGGGCCATGCTGAGGGACACTAGGCCATACTGGGGGCATGCTGGGGGTCACTGGGCCATACTGGGGGGACACTGGGGGACAGTGGGCCATGCTGAGGGACACTAGGCCATACTGGGGGCATGCTGGGGGTCACTGGGCCATACTGGGGGGACACTAGGCCATGCTGAGGGACACTGGGCCATCCTGGAAGCATGCTGAGGGTCACTGGGCCGTGCTGGGGGGCACTGGGCCGTGCTGGAGGTCATTGGGCCATCCTGGCACCATGCTGGGGAACACTGGGCCATGCTGGGGGGATACTGGGGGACGCTGGGCCGTGCCGAGGTTTGCTGGGCCATACTAGGGGCATGCTGGGCGTCACTGGGCCTTACTGGGGCCATGCTAGGGGGTGCTCTGCCATGCTGGGGCTGTGCTGGGGACTGCAGGGCAGTGCTGAACCATTGTGGAAAGACATTGAGTGCTACTGGTGGGTGCAGCACCATGCTGGGGTGCACTGGGCTATACTGAGGAGGCACTGGGGTATGCTGGGGGGCACTGGGCTGTGCTGGGCTTTGCTGGGGGGCACTGGAGCATACTGGGGAAGACTGGAGCCTGGACATTGCCCCTGCCTGTGCCCAAGACAGTGGGGATCTCCCCAACTGGGCAGGGCAACCCCCAGTGGGCTTCTCCTTGCCTCGAGCTGGGCCCCAGAGCCCCCAGCTGCGGTGGTGGTCAGGCTGCGCTGCCTAACGGTCACACCGGTGTCTGCACTGGGATTGACTGGAGGGGGCTCTGTGACTGGGGACGGGGTACCCGGGAAGGGCTGAGCCCCCGAGGGACCCTTCCCCGTCCTCGGAGGCCTGTGCTGGCCACCAGCTCCTCTCCCGCCGCTGCAGGCTGGACCCGCC